CAATTAAACCAAAAATTCACAATACAGTGAACTCTCGCTATTAAAGATATCCTCTGGACCATAATTAGGTGTCTGCAGTAGCGAGAGTCCTCATTTAATTCTTTGTATTTTTCGCCGGTGAATACCATATTTACCCGGCATGTATAAGCCGCTCTCGTAGATAAGCCGCACCCCAAGTTTTAGGAACGTTTTTGAGGAAAAAAAAGATGGAAAATAAACTTTTCTCTTTTTGATCGCCACTTGCTAACACAGCTTTCTTTGATTTTAAAGTGCTTTTCCGCTGCTCGACGGTGTACTATGATGGATTTGATCTTGGAGACATAATTGTTAAGATTGATAATTGACGCTTTAAAGAGTTGTTTTTCATTCAAAAGGTAAAAGCAAACTAGTAATTAACTTGAGTGATATAAATCTCATCGTGCCGCCAAACTTCTAAACATAAGGATCATACCGAAACCGTTTCGTATTTCAAAACAATAACAAAGCAGATTGTATTTGTTTAATATAAGGAACAATTTCTTGGGCTTATTTCTTGGGTATTCAAAATATTTACCCTGTATTCTTCACTTTAAGTGTGACAAAGTCGCTTAAATGATCAATGCAAATTAGCATCGCGTTACCAAAACAACTCTAAGACAAAACGATTGAAAATGCTCTCTGTACATTTTAGCTCAATAACCACGCACTTTTCAGTTTAGATTTTCGGAGAATTTATAGTAATACTGAGAAGTTTGGATTAAAATTTCTGTTCCCGCCGTGTAAAACACTGATGTCCTGATGCTGATTTATGCAAATTAGTTTTTATTGGGCATTTTTACAAGTCTTCTCGTAGATAAGCCGCACCCCCGATTTGGGAACGATTTTTTGGGAAAAAAAGTGCGGCTTATACATGGGTAAATACGGTAACTATTTCCTGTTCGTAATATCAACGTGTCTGCTAAAGAGGGTTGTCCATAAGGTGAGCGTTGACAGTAACATGCAAATTACATTTGCACAAGGATATGTACACCTTGATCATTTTCAAAATAATACCTTATCCTGAAGAAGTTAGTCTCCTTTGCAGCCTCCCCTTTTGTTGGGCTTCCTGTTCCTCCCTCTTCATTTGGGAGGGAAAGGAAGATTGACAAAAGGGGAGGCTGCGAAGGAGACTATGAAGAAGTAGGATAAAAGTAAAACTTACTAAAATCACCAATCAAGAAAACACCATGAGCCCCTGGCGCCCATTCTCGATATCGCTGTCCTTCAGGGGTGGTATTAATTCCAAATTTTTCATACCCTCTAGAGAATGCATCTAAGCCTCCCTCGTACTGTTCGATGTCTTTTTTGATAGTTTGAAAGCATTTGTATCTGTAAATAATACCAAATTTAAACATTTTCTTGATGGACACCATTATAGTAATGATCACTACGCCTTATTGAAATGTAACCCTTGCACTGAAGCTAGACAACAGTTGAGAGTGCAACATGATAGAAACCTTCTTCCACACCTACAGACAATTATTCACAGTTTTCTATCATTGCAAGCCAAGTCTTCATGCCCAAAAATTGATCTTAATTGGCTGATTTTTGTCCATTTTGCTGAAAAAGAGATGATTTTCGTAGGCTATAGTCCATACGTTTTCTTGATGATTTTTGATGATTTTCCTGTGCTATAGACCATTCATTTTGATG